CGTGCCACTTCCATGAAGTGCGCTAATCGTTTGTCATGTTCGGCCTCAGTTGAACCGTGAATAACAATATCATCAGATATTCCAACACATCCTTCACATTGTTCAATTATTGCATCCATTTTTTTCTGGAATAAATCTTGGCTTACATTCAAACCAAATGGTAGTCGAAGAAAGCAAAATCGTCCACACATAGTTCTAAATGTTGTTAATTCTTGTGAAGTAGGTGCAAGTTTGATGCTCCAGTATCCAGCTTTTGCATCCAGTTTTGTGAAATATTTGGATTTTGTGAATTCAGGAGTAACTTCCTCTATTGTTGGAATTTTGTGTGGAAATCTTTTTAAAGCCTGGTTAAGCTTTCTGGGGTCTAAACACATTCTAAGACTTCCATCTTGTTTCACTGCATAAGTGAGTGATGAACACCAGTCTGTGTACTGGGTGACTTTTCTGATGATTCCCATCTTTTCCATTTTATCAAGTTCTGCTTTTATTTTGTCACGCAGATGTATTGGCACTCTTCTTGGAGGATCAATGAATGGTTCAGCATCTTTTTTTAAATGCAATTTTTCTTCCCCATGGAAACATCCAATTTTATCAAAGCAATCAGGATACACTAGCTTCAAATCTTCAACCGTGTTAATTTTTGTCTGCATCAGCATATTTTTGCTCGATGGTTTCTGCATATTATTTCCGCAGATATCAATTTTGGTATCCCTTATATTCGATTTAATTTGATCAATATTTAGTCTCACAAGATCGAACAACTTGCATGTTGGAAGGCCTAATATTGCTGGACCTTATACATCAACAACATAGAATTTTTGTTTTCTATATGCGTCTTGTTTTGCTTTTCTGATTTTCAGTAGTATCGACCCATGGCACTTTATGTTTGCGCCAGAATATCCCAAAAGTTTCACCTTTGGTTCTGGTGTCAAAACTTGTCTGGTAGGACGTGTTCCAAACATTCGTTTATATACTCTCATAGGCAAAGTATTTCCACCAGCACCTGTATCAACTTTCAATCTCAGCGGCCCTTCAACATATGGGTTATCATACAGAAGTTGCATTGTTGTATATGCTTCATTTGAATTCAATTTTTCAAAGGATAAATCACTTATTTTGATATGACTGAATTGATTTGTTTGGCAATCATCATTGTTGTCATCATTGCACTGCAATTTCAATTCGTCTTGTTTATTTTTGTAATCTCGCTTCCAGCGTTGTTTTGACGACTTCTGGTAGTGATGACTTACACTTTTGTTTTTGTTATGTTTAACAAATCGATTTGTATGCTGTGATTTATTGCGGCACATTTTCTTCCAATGGCCTTTTTCTCCACATGCATTACATATGTCATTATAAGCAGGGCAATCCCGTGGTTGATGCTTTAATCCACAGCGAAAGCAACCTTTCGACCCAAACCTTATTCTGTCCAATCTAGTTTCTGACGTCGCCATTCTTGAGATTGATGTTTGAGATGATTGTACAGCTTCGTATTCTCTTCCTTTTTCAAGAACATCTTTAATCGAATGACCTTTAGGTTTAGACAATAATTCCTTGCGAAAATCATTTATTGGCGTCGACAATATTATTAATTCTATCAGGCGTTCATTTAATTCATCAACTGTGAATTCACACCTAGAAGCTTTGTCCCGAATTCTTGTTATAAATTCGGTTATAGTTTCCTCCGGCTTTTGTCGTAGTTGTGCAAATTCTAATCTGTGCACACGATAGCTTATTTTGACAGTGGCGTCAACCTGGCTTTCAAGAAGGTTCCAGATTTCATCTGGATTTTTTCTGTCTTCTTCAGTGAGTCCAGAATTTAGCACACGTCTCATTCCTTCGTCTCCTATAGCAATACATATTTTTACAGCTTTTTTGGCATTTGATGTGACTTCATTATCTTCAAGGAAAAGATTCATTCTAGCTTTAAATGCTTTGAAGGATTCGGCAAGTGGCTTGTAATGCCAGTCCATCATGGGCATTTTGCTCGACATATTTGTTTTTTATCACAATTGAAGTCTACCCTCAGGCACACTTAGTCACACAAAATTTTAATATTGCTAACTTTAGGCTACCGGTACCGGCGGGCTCCAATACTGGCATATGCAGCTATTAGACTACTGAGTTTCTTGTTTCTATGTGAGTTTCTTTGTTGGTTTTAGTTTATCACCAAACCGCTGCCACCATGTAATAATATCTCTACCCTTGATTTTTTTTTTTTTTTTTTTTTTTTTTTTTTTTAAATGGATTCACAATGTGGAATATTCTATCCCTTGATTTCTATACCGGAGTGTAGAATATTATCAGAATAAAACTCGTTGTTTCAGAGTACTGTGTTTACTTCACGAATCAGAAAACGTTATACATGTTATACACTGGGGGCAGGCCAGAGCAAGATAATAATGGTATGAAAGGTCATGAACTTAGGCACTGAATTAATATAACATAATATATGCAATATCACTACAACACTGACTAAAATCCGTGTTCCCATGGATAAAAAATAATACAGCAAAATTTTAGACGAAATATCAAATTTCATAGAATTCACGCAAAATTTTGAAATAAATAAAAGTAATAGCCTTCTAGCAAAAAAATTAATCTTTAACCACTGAAAATTTCAAAGCAATTGGTCCAGTATTCGAAGAGAAAAGCGACTTTTTAAAAACGTGTCAAAGAACAAGAACAACAACAACAACATAATATTGAAACGATCGTCATGTCCACTACGTGTCCAATACCATTATAACGTTTCTTCGGTGTGGACTGGAGCGAGCGATACGACCATGCGGTCATCAGAGTCAGCTCCCACCATGTTCGCACCGATTGAAATAAGTTCACAGTAAAAATACTTATTATTATAAAGCAGTTATAAATTCTAGAATTTTGTAACTTTGGAGAAAAAAAGGAAACTCGACCAAGGGTTTTGTCTGTTCTTAAATGACGAATAGTTATTTGGAGTTCGAGTAATATTTGCCCGAATTTTATAGATTTGGGTGTTAATAAAAACATTTATATTCGATTCAATATAAATAAGGAAGTGGCAAGCCAAGAATAGGAAATATTTGGCCCTATCAGGACATTACATTCAATCTTATTGACCAATTGCCATGTAATATAAGGTGGAAATATAAGATTATATGGGCATATCTCCCGATGCCACATTTGGACTAAAGTTTGCATAGCCAAGTGACTATAAAACAGTGATTATGAAAATGACTGTTATGAATGATGATTTGAGTTGTATAGACAAAAATAAGAAATTCATTCCAATATGAACAATTGTGGCACTTGAACGATTATCACAAATATACAGATTGATGTGTTCCTTGTTTTGTCTTCCTATACAAAGATGTTTAGCAAGATACTGAATCTGATACACTAGCTAGCTCAATCAACTATTTCACGCCTGAAAGTCGTACATATGGGAGGCGACAACTGGGCGTCTCGATATGAAAGCTGCCGTGTCAATATGAATTTGTACCAGAAGGAAATTTTAGACCCATCCACGATACGATGGTCATGCGACTGTTATTCAAGCAATACGATAAATATATTTCATTTCTATGGCGTATGTGGCTTAAGTACCTGCTTCCCAAAACTTGTGAAATGACGACCACACATACTACTGATGTTTCATACCAAATTCACTGGCTCTAGAATAGCCTAGACCAGGCATGCCCAACCTTTTTAGTGTCACGGGCCACTTTCACAGGAGGAAATTCATTGCGGGCTGCAAACGTCTTGGCGCTTCGGAAGTATTTGTACCAAGATGACGCACAACCTGAACTATATTCTGACACACTTACTATGTTCAGGTTGTGTGCCATCTTGGTACGGATAATTCGGGAGCACAAACGTTTTTACCCAACTAGAATACCATCCCAGTGCCGATTAACTTTAGAATTTGAGCGTCGCTAAATCAAACGTCTGGATTGCACAACCCTTTGTGGATTTCTGAACACAACTTGCACATAAACAACACCAAGTTCAACTTTCATGCAAAATGCACTGCCCTCAAGCAATGTACATCGGCAAAAAAAATCGGCAGAAAAAAATAAAGTCAGCAATTCTTTTTTTGTGCGAAACTTGCTTTTGAATGTCATTGTTCAACTGTTTGATATTAACGGCTAGTTTTGGTAACTCACAGCGTAACTAACTGGCTTGTCAAATTGCCGTTCGACAGCTTACTCCTATGCTTCGATACGCATTGCTATTTGTCTCAGGATGTGAAGCGTCACTGTAGAAGTTTTCTATCTCCTTGAAACAACTGTTTCAGTTCCGTGTGTGACTAGACATCAAGTCAAGTTGCGTATGTTCTCGGGCTTCTTCTACCCGAATGTCAACGGGATACGTACACAATTTTAAAGAGACTGTCGAATTTTGCAATTAAGAGCATCTCTTTTTTAAATGCTTTCAACAACTTTGCGACTTCGTCTCAAATATTTATGGTAATCCATACTGTTGCTGTCGAAGCTATTTATTAACGGAAAATGAATGTTCTTCAATTCAAATTGAGTTTCATACAGTTCAGGCTCTGGGATAAATGCCTATCTTCACAACAGTCTGTAATTAATTTCACAATGGGTAGAAAACTCATTGTATCGCCACTGATGTTGCATGCTTACTTAAATGACCCTCCGCAAAATCATATTTTGTGGCGTTAACATCGCTTTTCTTATGGAGGAGCGGCGTGAAATTGAAGCCTCAAATCTCGTAAGATTTGATATCATACCAGAAAATTTTTATGTTAAATATGTTTATACGTCCATATTTATATAAAACTTCAAGTGGGCCGCACGAATCCTTCCCGTGGGTTGGACGCCCCTGGTCTAGATTCGTTGAGCGTTTGACACCAAGCTCCAAGAAATGCCAGGTTACGGGTTAATTAAATTTCTACTGTTTAGAGTTTTAATCGAAATACCTTGCTGCAATACCTTTATCAAAGACACGGGAAACCACCTAACACACCTTAGTTGGATGATGACAAACAACATGGATGTAAAACCAAAATATTCTATATTACAGTTTCAATATCTACAAAAACAGTGGACATGATATAAAAATATAGGGATACACTTTTTTAATAGATTTGCCTAACACAGCAGCACAGGAAACTCACAAAAACTTGGGAGCATTACTGCAGGGAAATACAATAAGCTATCCTGATAGATGGATAAAAATTTATGTCTGACTTCAAAAAGTAGCTGCATGTATATAAATACTCAGATCAATTTGAGTCAGGAATGCCAGTTGTGATAGCCTAATATGAGTATTAAAAACAGCTCTTCCAGAAAAAAAATAATCATGTTGCAGTGCCGGTGAAGGGGAAGAAAAAGTCACTTGGCAATCTAGCATTCACTGTTGGTCTTTCTCGCAATATACTTGACGGAGTAGATGACGCATCAACAAATGTCACAGTAGACGTAATTTCCACAAACTGCGAAACTGTGCCCGTTATGCAATCAACACCAAAGCACTAAAATTCAATTGCAAAACTCAATAAAACACTAAACTAATTTTTCAAACATATGTTGAAATATTTTTCCAGGCATTAAGTGATTAGCTGTTGGCCAAAAGGTATTGATTGTACTCATAGTACAACGATTCTAATTAGATATTCCCAAAGTTTCTTAGAAAGAAGAACATTAATTTTCAATTTGAAGTTTGCCTTTGGCCATTTCAGAAGGGTCATTGGAGAGCTATCAATCTAGTTATACCTCAAACTCTTGACAAGTTATTGAAGTAGATGACAATCGATAAAACAATTTTAAAAAACTGAAATCAACTTTTACTTAGTAAAAAAATTGGTATACAAACCTCATATGCTATAGATTTTGTTACAGGAACGTATTCAATTCCAATAATTTGAGGTTGAGGGTTAGATATGGAACCAGTGTTTGCAAAGTAGATAGTATAGTTTAAACCAGTCCACATATCAGGACATGCTGTTTCAGGAGTATCACTCCTATTAGCTGGCAACTGTATTTCAAGTAAAAAACAGTTATGTTAACGTTAAGGCTTACGGTATGTTCATGAAAATAATTTATGAAGATATAGCAAGATATACAAGGTATTACCGGTAAACAATAGACATTGGACTTTCTTTTTATTTGACGTTTTCACCCCTTTACTCTAAACCAGTGTTTTTCAAGAGGTGGGGCATGTCCATCAAGGGGGTGTACACAGTTTTTTCAGGAGCGTGAAGCTAAATAAAAATATTAGTTGGATTTGATCTTGCCCGCCTTATTTTGAATATTCCATTTATTTTTTTATTTACGTTTCATTCATGCAATAAAACATACTTATGCCTTACTATCTGTTATTTGTAGCTTATTGTTAGCTAGTTATTTTTGAGGTGGGCCGCAAAACAAATTCTAAATTGAAAAATTGATTCTGGTTTGACATTGCCCGTCCAATTTATTACACCCTGGGTGAGAACCACAAAACATAGTTGACACCAGCGCTCTTATCATGTCGATACAGTAAAACCAACCAGTTGGCCATAAAAGAATATTCAAACTTTACCTAAACTGGGGTGATAGTTTCAGCCATGTAACTAACACATAAATTTCTGCTAATTCTTATGTTCATTTCCCCATCTGAATAAAAAAAAATTCATGCACTCACAGCCACTGCAGGTGGTTGTAGCCAATCATTTGTTGTATTTGATGTTATCAATGTATTTCCATATGTTGCAAGATAAGCATTGCTTGGAATGTTGAGAACAGAGATTATCGACTCTTGCAATGAATTACATGCTGTACTTCTTGTGAAACTAAATTGAAACACCAAATTTTAACTTATGAACCATGAACATTTACAGTAAGGTATGAAAATTTATTAACCAATTAAATGTGACTTCAAAAAAGACAGAACAATCATGAAAACGAGAATATCGGTCGGAGACTATCGATCGAAAGTTAGGGGATCCCCCAAAACAGAAACCGCGGTTTCGATTCATCCTATCTTACTCCATAGTGACACTGTGTGGCCCATCACTAATTAATTAATAACTCGCTATTTTTTTATACAACATAAATTATCCAAAATCAATAGGCTTCTGGTCCGAGATATAATGAATGCACATGCGAAATTTGGAGCAGATTCAACCTCGCTTTCGTGAGATATCGCGTGTATCTAACAGACAAACAGACAGACAAACAAACGAATACCTATCAACATACTTACCGATCAAGATCGATAAGTAGTCATACATAAAATGTACGGAAAGCTGGGGCAAATTTGATCAGTATTCATTATCAGTACATTGATCATATATACGTACCAAAGTTACAGAACATATACAATGATTTGGGTATGATACCATCACACACAGTCTTTGTTACTGGACACCAAGTGTTCGTATGGATCCCTTAACTAATCACTAAATTCTCGCTGTTTTTGTTGGAGTGATCAATTAATGGATTTTTGATTACTTTTAGATAGAAAAGTCAATGGAAGACCATTACCTACCATTTTTTCAATTTTTTATAAGTCATATAGAATATGTTGTATCACCCACAATTTTGCAGTTTCATTTTAATTAAAGGAGAAGAACACTTGCTATCCCGTCACACCCGACCACCTCCATTACGCTTGTCTGTCCATTGATCTATTCAGCAAGCTCAGTATTTTGAGCCATATGGGTAACCTCACAGTACCTTCCATATACTCGAGCATAGCTTCCTGGATTCGTAAATATACTATTTTTTGGGGTATAATGACTTTTTAATTTCTTTTAAACAAATTTTCTAGGAAATTCAGGAAATATGGATAGAGAGTCCACTAATTTTTTTTATCATGGCATTAGAAATTTGGAAAATCACGAAACAAACCTCAAAAGACACCCTGTTCTTGCATCCTCTCCGAAGTTAATTTGCTGTGATGCAACACCAGTACAAGTTCCATCCCCATTAGAATTTGGTGAAATCAAAGTAAACTGAGTAGCATCAATTGTCAAATTTCCTAAACCACCCCTGTAACAAAAGATATTACAAAAATTACATTTTTAATACTCCGAAAGTCTGATTTCTGTCTTTTTTGTGTTTTACATCTAAGAGGTGAAGAATGCTCTCAATAAAAAGCCAGTTTCAGGTATTTAAATACTGAATTTACCCACTTGTTACATCCTGAGTGAAAATATCTTTAGGTTGTAAAAATAAAATTTATCACTAGGATTCATTTATTTTCTACAAACTTGTATTCCTGTGTTATAAACAATTTTTTTAAAGGTATGATATCAAGTCAACACATCTGGAAAGAATAATTGATAAGTTATTTCCATAACATGGGCTGATCAATGCCGTCCTATCAACTTTCCACATATTAAAAACTTATGATTCATATATTAATACTCTCACCCTGAAGCTGTTCTCAATGACCTTCCAATAACATATCCAGGATTTCCACTTCTGGATTCAGTTTCATTCAGAACAGTCGCAGATGATACAAAACTAATACTGAAAGTCTGAGATATGCTGGATTGTGAAATATCAGAAACTTGGGGAAATGAGACGCAAGCTGACAAAAAAAAATACAGATCAATTTCACCTTATTAGATAGTATTGCTTTACCAATTTAGAGCCCAAAACAATACTTAACAGGCTTTTTGTTTGACAAGGAGAGAATGAGCTCCCAAAACTATTTTTAATGCCTTCAAAGACTTGAAGAGTGAAATATTGGTAATATTTTATTAAACCGAGCTTCCTGGTTTGGCTACTTTTTTAGATAAATCGATAACATATTTAATTTTTTATGAGTATTTATGAAACAAACTATTACACGCAACGCAACAAGTAAAAAAAGTTCTACAATTGCGGTATCACAAAAATCCTGACTATACAAATCATATATGAACATTTTTAGCAATCGTGGGCAGCCAGTTTGGCAAGAATATGCAAGTTTTACATTTAAACTAACAAGGTGTTTAATAGAACATATTCACATATGTACCTGAAGATATTCCATTTGTTCCATCGTAAGTAATCCTATATGAAACACTGGCTGCTACATTTGAGCATACACCAGTACCTGTATTATAGGTTATGTTCCCAGGAGTTGTAGAACCTTGAAAATGATCATGTAATATACATTTTGTTTAAAAATCCCAATTTGATACAACACCAGAATATCTATAAAATAGTCAAATTTACCAATGCGCATCACACACATTAGGAGTTATATCATATATTTACTAAAGCAGGCTGGCTCGTCATAATAAGTTGGTATGAAATAATAATATAGCAATTTTACTTTAACTTGAGCGATATAAATATAAGTTACTTACCATCACAGATCAGGACATTGACAACTGTAAGATGAAATATGAAAAGCAATAAGAAAACATTAAAAACGATAATAAGGAACAATGGAGAATAAACAGTTTCAAAAAAGCGCTGGTAAAAAAAACTAAATCTCAGGTAAAGAATGGATCTATATAAACATCTACCGATATAGTATTTCTTGAATATATAAACGCTTCATCTCAAGACATGTGTTTCATGGTCTTATCGCAACACATGATTTGTACGAGACTTGTATAAAATTTTCTGTCTTCAAGGACATTCTTATGGGATACTTACATGATGTACTGTCCGTAATGTTTGTAATAGGCACCTGAAAACAAAGTTTGCATGAAAAAATAATAATATAGCAAAAGCATGGAGTTGGTTGAAATATTTAGCAGACGAGAGGGATGAAGGCGGTCAAGTGGGGGACAAATATATAGAGTCACGTAGAACTCGAACAAAATCAGCCTTTCAATGGTTTCATCCATCTTTAGGAACTGAAAATTTGAAATTAATTGGTCTATCAGTGTTTTTTTTGCCAAAAAACAACAGGAAAAATCCAAATAATACAACAAAATGATCCATAGGTCCATTTTATGTCCAATAAATAAATTGAAAAGATCTGTAAACAAAATTCTTCAAAACTGTAATAGTTACTCACCTTTGCAATTGTAAAAGTAGGTGAATAATATGAAGCAGGATCAAGCACAGATCCAGATGAACAAGAAGTTGACAAAGTAAATCGACGATTGCAAGTTGACGTTTGATCACTAAGATATGCAGCAGGATTTGTGTCTACGCAAGTATTTGCTATGCCAGGAATAGCAAAACTTAATTTTCCTCGCAATTCATTGCTGTATTGTACATCTATCTGATCTCCCGCCTGTCAAGAAAACAGATTATAGTTATCTGTGACAAAAACAAGGCCTTTTTGTTACATTTATATTTTGAAAGCATTTGCATTCATCAACACCAGAGGTTCCATTCAAATCTGAGGATAGCCATTAGATTTGCCACAATTAATAAACTTACTACATCTTATTAAAGATTGTTTTGTTTTGCCAGTATTAGGTTTGTTGTTAATTGTTATACATATTATTTATAGATTACCGGTATATAATTCAGTCTATAAAGGATAACCGAACTATTGTACAGGGGTTTATCGAGCCTCTGTTTATATAAATTTCATTGGGCTTTTGCTCCACCAAAAAGGTTGAAAACTACTTTTGCTCATAGACTCTTTTACAATTTTTCCAAGGTAACCAGCAAGATGACTTTGGAAATAGTGGATTAGTCTGTCCGTGTCCAAGACTACTAATTTCAACATAGAAACGTACCAATTTGAGTATGCTATGATGAAGATGAATCAGAAAATTCAAGTCCTGCTCAAAACTAATATAGGCTTACCAAGACAGGCAGGCTCCTTACATAGAGCCAAATTTAAGTACTGGTAAAAGACACTCAAAAAAATATATTCAAGTTTTTAGGTTATTATCATTACCCACCACATAATATACTTGTGAATAGGTTGTAGCTGTTGTTGAAAGATCATATGAATAAGTAGGATATTGTTGAGAAGCAGCATTGAATTCAGCAGTATCATTAAGTATAGTAGGTTCCGTATAAAAATTATTTGATGTGTCTGAAAATAGAAATGAATACAGTTTGAATTCTTTATTGATAATTTTCAATATACTCATCTTATACTAAAAAAACTTCTTTTCTTACAGTCACAATGTCGCTAGATGTTTAAATGATCCTTTAATCAAGGCACTGCAACCCAATTCTATGAAGTATTTTGATAAGCCTACAAGCATCAATACCATACCTCTCTCCCTAATGATACAGAACAATCCATTATTATTGACAACTGTAGTTGTTGGCAAATTGTTAACAAAAACAAGTTGGTTCACACAAAGCTGAGAGTCCTCACTGAAAATAAATTTTAGAGATGAATAATAGAATATTCTAAGGATATAATACCAATTATCAACTTTGATAATAAAGTGATTTAATAGTATTGCTGCACACCCACATAAATGTCTTCTTATAAGTTAAAATAAGATTACCTAGAAGAAGTCTAATCCCAGTCAGATGAACATTACAGAAATAATTTGTGATAGTGTGCAGCACAACATTTAAATCTCTTAGAATAGTCATCTTCATTCTTGCTATAACATCCTTGCATACAGATACCACCATACAAACTTATAGGGTTTTCATTGTTATTCTGACAGAGAGCAAAGCTGATGAGACAGCGGGTTTCTCTTCCTGTTACTAGTTCAGATTGATTAAGAGATTATCATTTAACCACGTATTTGTTTTCAGATGGACTTGATGATGGACGAATCCATAACGAACCAGCAGTTATGTGAACCATCCCATGATGGTGAGGAGTCCAGCAATCCTCTTGCCCATTATTTTCCATCAGTAGGGTAATCAGAGTTGCGCTGGCAAGCGTGTTTCCAGCATGATACACCAAGCATAAAGTAGTCGATAGTTCCAATTTGGAAAGTTTATAACAGAGTATTTCTATTGAGAGTCTATTGAGCTGTCTATGGAATTTTCAGTATAAGAAAACTGTGGAAATCACTCACTTATATGTTGCATTTGAACACACAAACGCACTTATATCTTCTGTTGTGCAGTCTGGATCACAACAGCAATTCCCATCACAAGCTGAAGAAGTCAAATCACATGAACATGTCACAACTGCAAATGAAAAAATGCCATTGAGTTAACAATATAACAAATTTGGTAACGCCCTTTGGTTTGAGGTTGATTAATACAATATGACTGAAAAATGATCGGACATTTACTGATTTGTAGACATTTGAAATTAAAATGACGAGTTAGAATCGTACTTACATAAATTAACCAAAAATCAAATTAATGAATTACGCAGGCTTACTTGATTGGGAGTTTGCTTGTTGTAGGCTGTTTAGTAGAAACAATATTACAATTAGTTTCAACATATTTCTGTATTATGATAGTCTCACTATTTTGTTTTTCTGAAAAGCACAATACGTATGATTATATTTGCATATTATATTCAGTAACGGTAACTATTGTGATATTACTGTATTATGGATATTGTAGTATTGGTAGTCATGTCAATGATCTCAACAGGTCTTAGCTTGCTGCAGTGCTGGACTGCTGGCTTGTGATCAAAGCTAAGATAAGCTTCTGTGATGTGCAGTCATTCACAACTCTTCGATCGGACACGGTAATCGCCAAAACTATTACTAATTAATGCTGTTCTACTTTATCTGCGCATTCTACACAACAAAGTGACTATAACACAGGTTTGCAGTGACTTTGCTACACAACATACTGACATATACATTCTATTTTGGCTCCATTATGTTTTTCAATCATTATTAACGACTTTCCGAATTCTCTTCTTCACTCTGATATCATACTTTTTGCTGATGACTCAACGCCATATCTTCGAGGCAAAAACTTGCCTGAACTTTTGACCAAAGCAAATACAGACTTAGAAAATATTCAAGCTTGGTTGTCTGCGAACAAACTCACTACGCCGAACGTACGTACGTCACTACGCTTGCTATTTAGCACGCCGAAGCAAAAGTGTCCAACTCTGCAACAAAATTTGGAATTAAATGGAATAAATATAGAAAGAGTTAATCAGACTCGCTTTCTGGGTGTAATGATCGATGATAAATTGTCTTGGAAACAACACACCAATATGGTTCTATCGAAAACAAGGTCGTCTCTTAGTGCCATTACGAAAATAGCCAACAACTTAAATACATCTTGTTTAATATCTCTATACCACTCTCTGATAGAAAGCCATATTCGTTATTGTGCCTCAGCTTATGTTCATCGCCAATCGTCCATTCTCAAAAAAATTCAAAGTGTTTGCAATCGCTTTATCAGAAGAGTTTTTCATAGAGGTAATCGCGAAAAAATTGATGACTTATTTAAAGAGCATAGGCTACTACGAGTTGTGGATTTAGCTAAATTCGAACTATGTAATATGATGTTCTCTTGTCACATTGGAGAGCTTCCGTCCAGCCTGTTCCAAGCAAACCCAAATTCAAACAGCAGAAATAAAGATAATTTTTTTATTCCATTTGTCAGTAAAAGTATTTCACAAGAATCAATCGCAGTGTGTGGACCAAAAGCTTGGAATTCCCTACCCGATGACATCAAAAATTCAAAATCGAACTCAGAATTTTGTTCCAAACTTAAACAATATATATTATCATCATATTAGCAATTTTCTCTGCTTTGAACATGTTACTGTTTGAAGATTATTTTTTAAGGTCAATTCAACACTGAAAGGGAGAGCTGTTGATTATTTGGATTGAATGAACTATCAGGAAACTGTCCTCCTCTTCAGTCACCATAGACCAGCTGACAATTTCAATAACTCCACAGGATACTTCACCCGGATTCAATATAGAACAATGGACTGAATTAATAACTAGCACACCATTCTAATTTCATTATCATGCGTAATTAGACAACAACAAAAGCACAGCAATTTAGGTTATAGATAGTACAATTCAATAGAACTTCAATGCTCAAACAGTAGGGAGTAGGGACAATGGTTTTTGTTTGAGTAGCATGCTGTTCAATTTATTTCCATTGTTGCTACCTATCACCGAATCACACTTTTTCTTCTGCTCATCCCAGGATACCATATAATTTTATTATTTTAATTTACATTGGAAAATCCATGACATGGTAAAATGGCTTCTCTTTTTAACTTATCATTCCCTATCCCACTGTACCTTTATACCATTCTAATCTTCTGGCTGAAATGCAACCATAATAGGTTTTGTGGAAATGCTTTTTATTATTTTTTTTTTTTTAAACTTCATTGTTTTTGGCTGAATCCAGAATTCCAAGAAAAACCTTACAATAGTGAGTCACTTGATACATACCTTTATCATATTTCACCAAAACCTGTAGGGTCACATTTTGGCCAGAACAGCCATAGACCACTTATAACACTGTCGCCCTTGAGTGGTGCATACCATATATGTACACACCCTTTAAACTTGACCATTCCCGCGTTTTATAGTATGTGGTATCATCACTCAATGGTATTGTACATTCATCCAAATTCCTAATTTTTTTTTTTTTTTTTAATTTTTTTTATTACTATATTCATATGCAGTGTGTTTCATGTTGTGTTGTGTCTCTATTTATAGATGTTGTTTTGTCTAACAAACTCCTTTGTACAAACAGTTTTGTACACTCCACCCATATCCCTGTTACCGCATCCACCCACCCTCCTTGCACAACTGCCTGTATAACAGTATAAAGGACCACATTGTACATATTTGATTTACCCTATTACAATTTATGTATATCAAAAGGGGTGTATGCCGCACATCTGTGTTTTAGGCCAATATGGTCTTGTGCATACATCCCGTCTTCAGTATTTATAATTACTTACTCTTTTATATTGCTTTTACGAGACGAATAAACATACATACATACATATGGAACCGAGAAATTTTGAAGCGAATGTTGTGTATGTAGCCAATGATGCAGAACATACCAAGCTACACCTTGGAGACGCTGGTCACAAGAGGGCGCCTTGTCATCCGAAGAATCCCAACTTTGCTTCTTCGTCACACATATTAGTATAATTATTTAATTACGATAGAAAATTTAATATAGAGTTACACATATACAGAATAAAAAGAAAGCCAATGACACACATATGCATAATTTAATCATGCTATAATTATTTAATTACGATATAAAATTTAATATGGACTTACACATGTAACGTAATACGTATGTCTTACGTTGGTTACTAATGCGTATACGTTAGTTCTCTCGTTCTGTTGTATGACGCTCTGACGTTGTGCGTTTGTACAGTATCGTCTCGTATTTTCATTTCGTTACTTTATTCATTATATTCATTCCGTATATATTGCTTCACTTGCACTGCACATGTATCTTATCTTACATTCCTATGAACACTTGTAATACACTAGTGCACCGTTGTAGCGGTGTTGATATTTCTGACTGATTTATATGTATATTGGGACAACAGAATAGCCGAGTATTCGCCTGTATTCCAAAGACAGTTCAATAGTCGTTAGCGAGGAAGACGGTCTTTTTCTACACTGTCAATCGCCGTCGCCTTTCACCCTCGCTACGTTACAAATTGGTGGCAGCTGTTAAAGTACGTGGACGACGACAATTGAAGAATATTTTGGAGTCTGCATATTACATGACGGCAAGTGTTTTGTAGAAATTTTGAACGATTCTACTCAACCCTCAATTCTACTGACAAAATATCAAAAGATTCTTGTCAACTCAACTTTGACAAAGAATTCCGATTGCAATCAAGATATGTTCTTTTCGATGCCTTCTTGGGTTCTCGGACTTGGCGGAACAATTGTTTTCTTGGTTGTTACTTTCGTTATTTTCCTGATCATTCGTGCTATTCTTCGAAGAGACTAGCTTGATGGAAGAAGAGAAGTGTACTATTTTGGTTGATACACTGATTATCCTTGCTGCGGTGAACATTTTGGTGACTATTCTTGCAATTTCAGTGTGGATCGTCGGACTGCTAACTTTGTGTAAGTGTTGCTCTCAGCCTAGCAATACTGACAAAACAACAAAGCAAACCGATCAAACGATTCGCCCGCATTTGATATCACCACCACATCGACCTGTGCCAGAATTTCCGGATTGCAACCGTTCAAGACGCCCATATCCAGGATACGATCGAACCTTACCAAGGAGAGGAAGAAGTCAAATCGCATCTCCTGCATTAGACGCGACATCTTCAGAAGAGTTGGACAGCTCGCTTTATCAAATCCCGTTGCAGAACATTAGTCCTATTAGTTTAGGACGTCCTTTATGAAGAAAGAAATTTACGTAGGGAATTTCTTTCACACCAAATATGGATACAAGTAATTTCAATGAAAAAATACGAAAGAAAAAATATTCATCATCTGATCAGGATGAAGGCGTTTTACTTAGGCTTGGGAAAATGCAATAATTAAAAATATTGAAATACAAATAAGCAATATAATGCGATAATAGGAAAAATCACACACTAAAAATAATTACATTGAAATATATAATAAGCACTGCAATAATGAAATTTTAAAGCATGAGAATACAATTAAAATTAAATTCACACACAATAATATGAAAATACTGAATTAATAATAAAACAAAATCAATACAATTCAAAATCATCAAAATGAGTAGGTAATTTCGAAACACGAGTTTTCGAAACAAGGGGTTTTGAGTGTTTTAATGGTGAAGTAGGGATATCGGGAGCACCACGACAAACCAAGGATTCACGTCTTGTAATAAAGGGTTTGAGCCTATTGAAATGGACTCGTATACTAGGATGGGATTTCCTAATGTTTTCATCAACTGGTTCAATCAGAAAATTTCGATTTTCTAAAACTGTAATAATTTTGTAAGGACCATTCCATAAATAAGCAATTTTAGTAGTTTCACCAATAGGTACAGAAGGTGTATAAAGCATTACTAAATCATTAACTTGAAAAGTATTAGAAATAGCAGTCTTATTATACTGTTTTTCCATTAATTTACGAGATTTCTCAAGACGCTTTCGCGCCAATAATGCAACGGAATCTTTCCTAGACATAACATCTAATGTGCTATCAATTTCACGAGAATTACTTCCGTGGGAAATGTCGCTTATCGTTTTTGTTGAATTTCTCAAGTCAAAGGGAGTATCATTTGGTACAATTCCATAAGCCAATGTGATAGGTGGAATATCGGTCGAATCATGTATGGCAGTATTATAAGCATAACACGCCAATGGTAAAACAAGATCCCAGGATAATTTTTTAGAAACAGTTAAATGGGATAAAATTTGTAACAAAGTCCTTTGACATCTTTCTGTACATCCATTACCCATCGGATGAAAATAAGTCGTTTGGGTTTTCTTAATACCATATTCTTTACACATATCTTTAAAAATAAGACTTTCAAAATTCGAACCTAAGTCGGAATGCAAAGACTTCGGTGGGGTATGATTACAAATCCACTCAGA